TCTGAAGTTGACCCTGTTTGCGTGAACAAACCCTTGAACTTGAAAGCTTTGCAGACTCTAGGTATCAAGGTACAAAATTCCAAACTAGTCAAGCTTGTTCCCAAGGACTCGTCTGCCACAACCTCTGAAACTAAACCATCCAAGACTAAACCTGCTCTTGTTCCATCCCATGATCCAATGCAAATTGTCCCCCTAATCAAGGATCTCTTGGACTCTGTAGCCCAATCTCTCAAAGACCAGTTCACTGCCCTTTCTAAATCTGTGTCATCTCTCGCTGGCAAATTGGATGGTCTGACAGGAGAGTTCCAGGTGTTCCAACAGCAGGTGATGTCGAAGCTGGAGGAACCAGATGTGGTCCATCGTACAATTGTTCCCTCCTCGGATGATGAGGATGCATAAACATTTGTTTCTAATCACCTTTCTAAACACTGTTGTGGGCCTGGGAAAACATTGATGGTACTTTGACTATTGTGATTACTGCGTTACTCAAGACACTGTTTTGATTGCTTCCTGTTTCCTTTTGGTTGATGCCAAAAGGGGGAAACAATCAGGTGCTTTAACTGTTTCTGTTTTGTCTGCTAGTCTATATATATAATCTGTGCAGGAAATCAAGGCACCCGATTTGTCATCAACAAAAAGGGGGAATTTGTTGAATATGTCGTTTTGTTGATGACTAACCATACGAGAACAAAGAATAGAACTGGCCCATAATTCATGTAGAACACTTATGCATTAAATACTATCTAACCATGCAGGTGAACGATTGGATAGAACTATTATATGTATGTTCTAAATAAGGTCAAAATTGGTGGGTGCATGATTATGTCCTTCGTGTGATATCTTGTTCCATACATGATTACTTGAGTAGCTTTTGGAAAGTTTTTTAATGATGCACTTGAAATAAAGTTGACCAAGGCTGTCACGCCCCGGACCTATCCGGACACGTCAACAATCCGCCGTATAGTACGAATAGTCAACCGCAGTCCAACACATTCATACTGTACAAGGCGTCTGGGATATCATTCACACATAGTACATCCATAAACGAACATAATGTAAAATATTCATTCAAAGCAGCGGAAACATTTAGTACAAGTGTTCGTGCCACACTTTGGCAAACATGGACATACAAGCCCCCAAACGATTATTCAAAAATACAATATCCATGAGCATTAATTTAAATGTTTTAAAACAGGAAACGGAGGAAGCACGAACCACGTCTTCTCTCCTTGACCTTCCCGAAACAAGTGGGCGATGGCAGCAACCTTCAAGTTCTACCTGAAACTGTGAGGTGGCCTCCCCCGTGAAGGGGAGGTCAGTACTTGGAAGCATTTGACAAGTACAATGACAACTATACTAAGTATAATCAAAGTTTCAATTTCCAAGACCCTCAATCTAGGGTGATATTGTGTCATGGTTAACTTTATTCGTTTAGTGTCAATTCATCATTTCTTACCACGGTCTAGAGCCCAGCTCAATAATCACCATTATCTACTACGGTCTAGAGCCCAGCTCAATAATCACCATCATCTACATCGGTCTAGAGCCCAGCTCAATAATCACCGATAACTACTACGGTCTAGAGCCCAGCTCAATAATCACCGTTATCTACATCGGTCTAGAGCCCAGCTCAATAATCACCGATAACTACTACGGTCTAGAGCCCAGCTCAATAATCACCGTTTCTTTACAATTCAATTTCTTAGGATCCATTCATCCATTATTCAACTACAATTCCAACTAATATTTCAATACTAGTTATTTACTCATTTCAATGACATTCTTCATTCAATATGTAATTTGGCCTTAATATCAAAATATCACTTTTATTCCTTCATGGCTTCTTCTCATGAAATAAAAGCATACTTATCACAAATGGGATTTATGGTTGATACTACTCTCATGCCATCATATTCATAACATTTAGACATACACAATTTATTCAATAGAAATGTATATTATGCAAACTATACTTATAATCAATAGTAATTTCATTTAGGCATTATTAACCATTAATAATCCATGCAAATCACATTGTATATTCATTTAGGAAATCTCATGAAATTAACCCAAAGATTATAAGCAATATAGTCGGTCATCCTCACCTTAAGTGAGCTTAAGCGCGTTCTACGCTCCCCGATTGAACTTTGACTAATTCCGGCAAACTTTGACCAACTCCGGTGAACTTTGACCAACTCCGGCGAAACTCCGGCGAAGCTCAAAAATGCTTTAATCAAGTTCCTAAAAAGGTTTTAACATCATAAAACCTTAATCAATACAAATAACCTCTAAAAGGTTATTTTCCGGTGAACTTGTCGGCTTGGCTTCTAAGTCCGTTCTTGGACTTAGAACCACTCTCCAACCCATTATTCTACACTTAAATTATGTAGAACAACCCTCAAGGTTCTTCATATGATATATATCTCATATGATAGAAGGAAAAAATAAAGGAGAGTTATGATAAGGTCATTACCTTAATTTTCACACCTTTAACTAGCTTTTTCCTTCTTTAACTTCCTATCAACTTTCTTGTTGAGCTTGGCTTGAGTTGGCTATGGAAGATGAAGTTGCAGAGTTTCTTTCCTCCTTTTCCTTAGTGCTGGCCGAATAAGTGAGGAGGGGGGATGGGTAGGAATGCTCCTTTGTCTCAATTGAGCAATGAGTGAAGGAAAGGAGGGCCACCATGATTTGTTTTGATGCCAAACATCTCAAATCAGTTCTCTCCCACCTCCCTCTCATGCCAGCCGACCCAAGCCTTGAATAATATGGCTAAATTCGTGGGTTGTCCCCCACCCATGTGGGAGGTCAACCCTTTTTGTCCAGAAGTGTACAATTTGTCCCGAAAGTTGTATTTTTCGGACTGTTTTAAATATATTTTATTTTATCGGGTCAAATAAAATATATTATGTGTTCTCAATCGTTATGACCCTCATAGTGAATATACATTCCCCAACTTTAATTTATAGGTCTCCGAAATCCAATTTCGGGCTATTATCCGTTAAATTACCGATACCGGTAATTGAACCGCTTTTGACCAATCGGTCCACATTATGTCATTTCTTTGGACCAAATAAATTATCCCCCTCTATATAATTATTATTTCGACCAAGTTGAATAAAATATTCGGTCTCGGGAATATCGGGCGGCCCCGCTCTCAGTGTGGGTCCCACGTGCGAATTTACTATTCACGCAAAAGAAATATTAAAATTCATAACATCGTAAATTCGTCAACCATTCCATAAGGTTAAAATACAATATTCACTTAAAAGTAAATACATTTGGGGATGGTGTTACAAAGGCCCATTCGTGCATACTAAAAATATAAATGGCTTTCTTACCAAAAAGGGTTAATCAAATATTCTTGCTAAAGTATTGATATCTCGGTGACCGTATACTTGGAATAGTAAAGATTTACTTTCCATATAATATGAAAAGCCATCGATACCTTAATTTTTAAGGTAATCATTTTGAAGGTAATGTTGACTTGAATAAATCCGTTGCTTGGTCAAGTATGTTAAGTAAATAAAATATTTTGGTTTTTCCCTTCCTTTATTACACACTCAATTTAAACGGTATCTCGGTGTATGATTAATTTGCTGTTAATGAATATTTGATTATGATATTCTGGGATGTATTAATTTGGCTACCTAAGCTAATTGGCTCGGATATGGAAGTCATAAAGCAAGGAAAGCAATTCGAATTTATCAAGGCAAATCCTAATATCTAGCTAAGGAAAGAGGAGCCAACGAATATCACTCCTACAAGCTATATATTCGACAGAAGGCCAAAATGAAAGGTGTGCTTGACCGAGAAAATTACTAAGGAGAATCACTCAAGAGAAAAGATCAAGTCCATAACGCCTGAAACTGCTCACGGAGTTCTAGATAGAGATTTCTACTTCCCTTCTTTGTAATTCGTGTTTGAGGCAAAGCTAAGTGTAGCTACCTCGGGTTGGGAAAGGTGTGTCTGTGAGAGCTTTGTGATAAAGCTGAGAGGCTCTCTACCCAAAAGGTAGAGATGCATAACTCTTCCTAGAGAGGATAGAGTTGGGGAGGCTCAAGGGTAGATTAGGAGAATCACTCTTGTAATCTTTCAAAGGCTTGATTAGTGAAGTTGTTTAAAATTCCTCCGAGGGAGGTCGAGGTTTTTTTAATCCCTTTTGAGCCAAAGGATTTTTCATCGTTAAATCCTTGTGCACTTTACTTTTCTTCAAATCCCTTCACCCCACACTAGAACTTGGCGAAAAACTGCCACGATTCCACAAACACACAATTCACCACCACCCCCTCTTGTGTTGCTAACCGTTTTCATCAGTATAGAGCTGGTACAGATAACAGTGTCACCAAGGAAGGAGGCATGGATAATGTTGAGGAGGTGCCGGTGGATCATAAACGCGGAAGGATTTGGGAAGAGCAGCCACAAGAGGACCCTGTGGACGAGAGTATGTCTCTGGATAAAGCAAAAAATGGGGAGGCGGCGGGTCCCGTTGAAAATGACAAACTTTGGTTTTATTTTATTGTTGTTTTGTATTTTAATTTCCACGTTGACATTGTTGTTTTTTGTTTTTATTTTATTTGGTGCTGTAAGACTTTTGCATTAGGATTGGGTGATGAGAATTCTGCGTTAACCGTCTTTGGTTCAGTTATGACCAATTTAAGATCAGCGAGTTATATTGCTTTATCAAAGGTGATTAACTCTGAGCCTGATTCAAGGACATATGGTTACATGTGATTCTTTTGTTATGTTAACCCATATCTATTGTTGTGTTAGCGATCTAAGCCCCCTTCTTTAAAAAAAACCCTTAAATTAGATTACAGAAAACTAATACGGAGTAAATTCTTTTAAAGTACTCCGTAGTAAAGTGTCAAATGTAGCTCTTACGTCAAATCTTAACAGTTGAGCCATCTTAAATTTTGAAGTGTCCAGGCAGTTCTTACCTACTCTTGATCATCACAAAAGTTTATATGAAATGTATAATATGTCTTGTGAGTAATAACAAATTAAACATGTTATTTTTTTGAAAGAATAATTACAAACACAATTAGAAAACACAAAATTAACTAAAGTCGGCTTAATTTTAGTAATGAAAAAATAAAACTACTGTGTACTTGCACATAAAAACTACACACAATTACGTGTAAATAAATGGTGTAATTTAACCATGTACAAATCCTTTGTAGTCCTTGTGTACAAATTAAATATAGCTGTTACTCTCATATATACGGAGTATATCATTAATTAATTAATTAAAAATCAATTAATTATAAAACCTTTTCCGGCCGGCGAAAACTCTCAATACTCCGTCCGAACCTCCGGCAACAAGCGTGCATTCATCCCCTCCCCTCTGCATCCAGCAGACGCTGCTAACAAACCCATTTTCCGCTCCGGGAGGACCCATGGGTTTGAACCCGTATACCCATATCGGCTCGCCCCACCTCATATCATACACAAAGACTTGGTTATCCTCCGACCCGCAGCTGATCAACCCGCCGCTCCGCCGCACCGATAACCCGACAAATCTCGTGCTGTTAACGTGTCCTTGGTATGTTCTGACGAGGGTCTGGTTCTGTGTGTCCCACATTTTGATGCACCCGTCGACGCTCGACGTCAGTACCGTCCGATCGTCGAGGAATCGGACGTACGTGACCGCCTTTTGGTGCCCGTCCAGGACGAAAAGCGGGTCGCCCATTTTTCGGACGTCGTAGGCGTAAGTTTTCCGGTCGGCGCAACCCGCGGCGATGGAGGGGGTGAACTGGCTGAACTGGACGCAGCAGACTGGGCTCCCGGTTTTGCTGGGCTGCACAGCGGAGATGCATTCTCCGCTGTGACAGCGCGGGTCCCACGTCTGCATCGTCCCGTCGTCCGACCCGGATGCACCAACAACCGGGTCGGAGTACGAGTAGTCCAGGCTCCACACCCGTCTACCGCCGTGCTCGTCTCGCTCGAACACGGGCACCCGTCTCTCGAGGTCGTACTCCGTCACGACGCCGTCGTAGTCGCCCGACCCGATGACCCGGCTGCTCCACCCGGGTTTCCACTTGAGGCTGCTCAGCTTCGCCGGCGTGCAGATGTAGTAGTCGCAGGAGCTTCCATGGTCGAGCAGAACGGATCCATCCGGATCCGTTCCACCTTTTCCGGGAAGCAATGTGTTGACGCTGTAGATTCTGATTTTCCGGGCGATCCCGCCGGTGGCCAAGAACTCATCAGATGGGTCAAACTCTAGGACACCTAGAGCGTCGGAGACAGCTCCGGTGACGGAGCAGGAGGAGACGACGGTGGAGACGCGGAAACCCCAATCGGAGCGGGTTCTTTTTGCGGCGGCGTCCGAGGTTTCTGCGTGGGAACGTGGCGTAAAGTTGTTCATAGCCCATATGGATGAGATAATCATGGCGGAAAGGTTTTATGCTTTTGGTTTGACAGTTTATGTGTAAGTGGCGGTGGAGAAATAAGAGCCAAAGATTTGGTGAATGGAATTTTCATGGAGGAGGTTCTTACTAAATATGGATGGTTTGTATGAATCCACATGATACTCGATGTTTTTTTAATACGGAGTACTACGCCAATCACTAGATGAAGTCAACTAACACGAATTTCGAGTTTTGAAAAAAAAATATACAAAAATAACTTTACATGATAAAAGTGATCAAACAAGAATAATAATAAGTCCTACAGAATAATCAGGTACGTAGCATTTTATATTTAGACTTTCCAAACATAACAAAAACGATAGTCATTTTTATCCACAATTGCGGTCTTTAAATATTTAAATCTATTGTGGTACTTCGTATTAAGGAATAAGCAGGACACAATTATGACTTACTAGTATATGCACCCGTGCGCCGCACGTTGTTAGTCTTAATTAAGTTTTTCCAAAAAAAAGTGAAAGTAAAATTTAAAGAAAATGAAAGAGAAAATACACAAAATGGATAAACGCCTCAATCTTATGCCAAATATTTCAGTTTGTGTTATGATGATATCAGTTATACTTTAAATAGAAAATACAAAAATGAATAAATACTCAAATATCATTAGATAAAATAATAGTTAAAAAAGTATTAGTTGACTGTTGTATTGTAGGTTTGAAATGAAATTGATTATCATTTTACATTTTCATCTGTCACATTAAGTTTGTATGAAACAGGGCTCAAACAGGCTAGCCCTGTGGGTTTTGACTGATTTTGAAATATGTATCTATAGTGGATTGACACATGCATGTTGTGAGTTGTCCAAAATACAAATATATATTTTTGAATTTCGTTGTCTTCAATATTGATTCTTTACCACATAGTTCTTTGGACTTTCATGGGATCTTACAAAGAGCTAGAGAGAAGTCTAAACTATAGTATGCAAGTTTGTGAACTCTTTATAATGAAATAAATGGGAGTGTACGACAATGTAATAGGTGCACATGATGATGTGTCGAGCCCTCAGCGTAATTCTCAACCATAGTGCACTAAATGCGCTTCCCATCAATTCTAACCTTCCCACCGACTGCTTTGTGGAGCTCTCCCATATACAACCAGCATCATCTGAAAAAACACCAAGTATCAGAATGTTATCGACCGGCGGATCTCGAGCAGAAATTAGACTCGTGTACCAACACTACCAAAATTATATTCTAAAATACTTATTATTTTACAACCTTTTTGAACTATTAATAATCATTGTTTATAAATATTGACTCAAAAAGATCTAATTGTATTTTTATTTTTGTACAATAAGTGATTTTGCTAGATACCATTTGATAGTTATCAAATTTAATATAAAAATGATTTAATAATTTTTTTAATTAAACTTACCAAGTATTTTTAATTAAAACAACACATGGCAATAAAGGAGACACATTATATAAATTAATATATAACATAATATATTATTATAATACATTAGAGTGAAGTTTTGGAAGTGGGATAATGTTTCATTTATGGTGTTGTCACATGTCATTTTTTCTACAAAGATGTTGCCACATGTCAACAATTTCTCTAAGATGTTCTTTAGGGGTTAGCTTTATTATATTATATAGATATGAAAACACAAAAAAGTGAATACTTTTCTTTTTTTCTCTAAAAATGTAACTATCCATTTGTTTAAGTAATTCATCTTTTATGATGTTTTAAGGGGTTTGTTTTTATTGCTTGGAATATATCTCTCATGTGTTCAATCATTAGTCTTGTTCATTTTTTGATAGTTTATTCTATGTATATTTAGGGAGTGAGGGGACATTTTGATTATAATTAGTCTAGATGGAGGGTGAGGGTAAGCGATAAACGTGATGTGTGGTTGGTCGGTTATGTGATTTTAATTAAGATAAATGTTTTCTCCTTTCAACACAAAAAAACTGGATTCTAAATTTCTCATAAAAAAAGGAATTTATCTTTTCAGATCTCGTAAGTCACATTTTATTAATATGTAAAAGTGATTGCTTTTTTCTTTATCATAAAAGTGATTGCTTTTCTAGAAATTGACTTGGATTTAGTAACACTGGAAGAACTCCTCATATTAGACGACTCCATACGAGTAAGAGTATATTATAAGCTTTGTTTGGTACTTTGATAGTACATGTATACAAGCTAAGTTTCTTATGATTTGAATAGGCAGATTTGAGGTTTGGAATTGTTCTTTAACTTTTTGTTATGTGTGAAGAGTCGATAGTGTAAGAAACAATCATTATTCGATCACGTGTGTTCAAAGTTGTTTTACCTTTTTTGATTGAGATTTATTTATAAAAAGAAATAATGTAAAAATATAAAGAAATTATTCAAAATGAATTTAAAACATTGACAGATCTAAAAATGTGATCGAATATCTTTTACTATTGAATTAAAATGTGACTTCTTTTATAGTAAAAACAGATGACTTAAATTGATATTACAACATTTAGATAGGGGATAAAACGACAAAAGGACCACCAACAACCGTCAGCCTTCGAGCCAGACTTAGAGTCAATCACCTCCAAAAAAGCAATATAACTCGCTGATCCTATAATGGGCATAAATGAGCCAACAACGGTTAAAGCAGACCTCCCATCACCTAATACTAATGCAAGAGTCTTACAACAATAAAAGTAATCAACAGAAAAATAAACAGTCCGATCATGAAAAATAATAACACGCAAAAAGTAAAATTAAAATACTGCTTCCAAACCCTAAACTCTCTTGCACTCCATGGCGGCGGTTCAGGAGGGGGACGGTCCAACAGTACTGTAACATCTTCCGCTCCATGCCTCCGGTCCAGATCTGTTCCAGTCCCTAGCCACACGCTTTGTCCATGACCTTCCGATCTCAACCGTGAACGGCATCCTCGAAACTCTCCACTTGCTAGGGGTACACAACTACCTTCGGCTGCCATATTGGCGTTGCGGTCTCCCGAAGAAGAGGACATCACGAAAGGCGGACGAAATCCGCACAAGAAGGCCGCACTTCGTCGAAAAGCGGAGAAAAACAACCTCTAACCCTAAAGGAGACGGCCACCTAGAGAGAGGCTCTCGCCTCAGTTTTTAAGTTAGAGATAACATTAAAATGTGACTTGTTTAGTCCTTTTTAAGGTATTAAAACAATAGGGAAACAAAATTCCGACGAATGGATGAGCTATATTTAGAATTAAAAACAATTATTATTGTATTATGAACCAGAATCAAAGGATGCTTTCATTCACATATGAGGATCTATACATATACAGGAGGGGAGCTAGGGTTACATCAATGAGACGGGACAATACATATGGGCCATGGGGTTAATGGACATTCATAATTACATAACACTCCCCCTTGAATGTACATTACTAAAAAAACATTACATAGAAAAATATACATTACTTTCTTGATACACTTTGGTGATGCTGCCTCGTTAAAAACCTTGCCGAGGAAAACCCAGTGGGAAAAACCTTGGTCAAGGGAAAAAGAGTGCAGCGCATATATACTCCCCCTATTGATTGCATCACTTCAGGTCTTCTTGTTGAATCCAATTCAATCCAATTCGGTTGCTAACTTCTCGAATGAATTATTGTACTATGTGTACGTCTTGTAAAAAACCTAGCTTGTTGGAAAAACCCTTTGGGAAAAAACCAATGAAGGAAAAAACTACATAATATATGTAAAACGATGTGTTATATTGACTGCCTCGTTATACAATTAGATCTTTTTGAGTCAATATTTATAACGTATTATAAATATTGACTCAAAGGATGTTCCAGATGCATCTTTTTGAGTCAATATTTTAGATCTAATTGTTTATAACGTATTGTAAATATTGACTCAAAGGATGTTTAATAATTGACAATGTTCCAAGCGCCCCCAAGCCTGATAACGTATTATGAACCAGAATCAAAGGATGCTTTCATTCACATATGAGGATCTATATATATACAGGAGGGGAGCTAGGGTTACATCAATGAGACGGGACAATACATATAGGCCATGAGGTTAATGGACATTCATAATTACATAACATGTAATTTGTGTTATGTTTACTCACATTTTAAGATTTTTCTCAAAGGTATCATTCTTAATAAGTAATGGGAATTTGTGTGATCTCATCAAATCGGGTTTAGTTTACTTAGAATAAGATGTATTCACAAGTTTATTGTAGATGAACTCTAGTTAGTGGTTAAGAGTACGTTTGGAAATGTATTATGGATTGATCGATATCATCATCCAATTATTTTATTCAAAACAATATTTTTTTATTTCGTATAATACATTTATACATTGAGTAATGTACTTTATAATAAATAAAAAAATAAGATTGAGATTACTTTGACCTAATTGGCTAAAATTGCTAAAGTGGGTCATCTCAGCTATTTTGATATAAATTTTTTTCTCTACTTTATTAATGAGGTGTATCTTAACTATATATTTTTTTTAATTCAGCAAATTCATTCATGAACCATAATTTCATCAATTTTAAATATTTGCCCAGTTCAGTCTATTTTTAATAAATTTACTTTTCTAACTAATAAATTTGATTTAATTATATGAAAAAAAATTAATAAGGCCGAAATTCTAAGAGGCTACTGTTGTGTAACCATGATAATCATCAGTTAATGTCCCACGTACGTTGTACGTAGCCAATTATGTCCACAACGTGTGTGACATAAAAATAGTCACACCCAAATGCATATCGTACCATTCGTTTTACAAAAATCTATAGCAACATAATTAAATAAATAAATAAATAAAATATATACGTACTGTGAGGCGGATGGATTTGAAGATGAATGGCAGGCCCCCAACGATTTGGTAGTTTTAACTTTTGTTATTTAATTTCATACAAATAGGGAGGTGCCCAATGAAAATAAAAGAGATCAGCCCCCACTCATTAATATTATCACATCTCATTATACACCCACAAATAGCTCAGTTGGTTAAGCGTGAGAAAATTGAAACATTGATCATCGAAATCTGCAACGACCATTTGGAGGTTACAATTCCAATGTGTTGGGTTGGATCTGT